CTAAAAATAAACATCAGATGCTACTTAAATTCTTCCTATACTTTTCGAGAATTACGTAGCATTTTATTTACTTCAACATTATCCGATATCAAATTATCAAACGGAAGGAAGGGCTTACCTAATAATTTACCCATTATTATTGATCTCCAATTATTTTAACCGATCCAACAATTAGATCCATAGATATTAGTTTTCTCGATCATTCGATACTTTTTCGAAACGAAACTCTAAATGATTTCGTGTATCTGAATAACGAATTACAGTGGGTAAGAGTATTTGTAAATTCTCCTCTTCCAAATACGATAATCAGACTTACGTTACATCGATCTTACAATTAGTAACACACACGACTCGGTCGAGGAGGATCAACAAGTGTGGATACGCGAAAACGAAAACACGTCGTCGCGCTGATCGATTGCGAAGACACGAAAGGATAGAGAGGCGCCGTGACGAGAAATGGGAATAGGAACTTCCTCCCTCGCGGCGCGAATCGCACGCGCGGATTCCCACGGTGCGAGATAAGGCACAGGTCGGGAGATAAAGAGAGACCACGAGGAGAGATGTAAAGGGGAAGAGAGGAAAAAAAAAAGAAGAAGAAGGAAAAGGACGATGGGAAGAGAAAGGACGGGAGAAGGAGGAGGATGTGAGGAGGGCAAGGCAAAGAGGGAAGGAGAGCTCGGCGAGGACGATGTGGGAAAAGAGGAAGCTAATCAGAAGCGGAAGTACGCTCTGGCGAGGCTCGAGGCCTTGAGAAGGCATAGTCGGCCGCGTGGCTTTTAGCTCTCTTAATTGCAACTTCATTTAACGCGCCGTTTCGGCCAATCCCGATCTCGCATGCCGAGAATAGCGCGTCTTAATAAGCGTCTTATCGCATACGCGAAGAAGAAACGCCTGAGAAGGGAACGGACGAACCGTGGAAGGTGGAAAAGTATGAAACGAAAATATGAAATACACAAAGAAAAGTGCATTGTCTTCCTCCGAGACGGATTCGCAGTCGACGTGATTCATGGTGCAAATTGGATATCGTTGTTTTTTCTTTCTTTCTTTCTTTCTTTCTTTAACATTAACGCGAAAATATATTTCTTGAGCGTAACATTTTATTTCCGCAAATTTGAAAAAAATGTTGCTTTTTACCGTCCTTACATTACATTCGCACGTCTAAAACGTATATGTCTTTACGTATGATTTTAACACGAGATTTAATTGTGGTTTGTTGATTATTCTACAAGATTTAATTGTAATTGAAATTATCTGAAAAAAAATGTTGCACGCGCGAGTGTTATGACATGTTTGTTTTGGAAATGCGGAAAATGATACCGAGATCGATAAAGGTTTTACGAATATTCAATTAACACTTGGTATGTCGTTTATTTGAATTGCAGTTATCTCGCGATATCCACGTTAATGACATCAAGCAGCGATAATAGAATTCTCAATAGAGCCATTGATAAACACACGATAAATCCACGTGCATTCCTCCGTTTATTCGCGAACCTAATCATTTCGAGAAACTATTTTCCTTGAAAATGAAATAGAAACTTTATTGACAATTAAAATCGCATTCAATCCGCCAGGTTGTCCGTGTCATTAGCAGAAATAACTTTAAGTCATTTAAACGCAAATCCGATGTGATTCACTACGTGGTTCATTCTATTTTACTCCGTATTGATTGATTGATATCAGTGCGATATCAGATGCGTTCTACATCGAATCCGATAACAAAATCGTTTATTACCTCATTAATTAATTGCATCGGTCTCATAACCCACTTCTATCTTGCTACCGACTACTCAATTGAAAATATTCTCGAGAAGTGTCGAGCAAAATGATCCAGCGAAGCGGCTCTGTGAGATGGTACAAAAAAAAACAGGGACGATTAACACGATACTTGAAAATGCAAATTATTGTTTTTATAATTATTAAAAAAAGAGAGAATCTAATTGGATATTACTACTTTTAATTGGATATTACTACTTGTAAGATACAAGAACATATCTCTTATCGAGACGTTACATGCAACATTTGACGTTTCGTTTTTCCTCTTTCAATTAGCAGTTGTACAGACGCAAATAAGTATTCATAATTATTCATAATTGCCTGGTACAAAGATATTTTTTTCGTTCGTTTCTTTCTCATGGCCGCGCAACGTGGTACGTTGCACGTCGAGTTGGACATCTCCAAAGCAAAGCGGCTTTGGCAAATTTAAGGAGAGTGACGAGACTGAATGTATTCGGAGGTACAAATAAATGATCGTCAAATCGTTTGCGAACGCACGTTAAATGATTTGGCCATAAATCTCCGTAGTGAATTAGGCATCTGATGCATAGTTTAGCCAAATCACACGGTTGACATAGTCAAATTTATTCACGTAAATGTATAGTGCGAATGACTCCGTAGCAAGCTATCGCTAATCAACGTGAAGAAACGCATTTGCGATTAACATTAAAACATCTTTAAACATTAAGGATTATCAGCTGCAACATCGGTTTTACTTGAAAAAGTTAACTTCTTTCGATTTCCTTCGGATTCTTTATGTTTCAGTTCAAGAGATAATAATGTTATTTAAAAATCTTCCTTCGCGTCACTTGTTTTACATGAAATAGTATTGGAAGAATAAAGATAAAATAAATTATATAAAGAAAAACAAAGCAAAGAGAGCGTGTAGTCCGACAATAATAATAATAATAATAATAATAATAAAGCCAAAGTAAAAAAAAAAATATATGTGATAAATATTTGAAAACGTATTTCTTTACTCGAATTCTGTCAATAATTTAATTAATTTATCGATAGTAAGTTTCCTTGCGCGATAATATTAGATTATTTGCACAAATTTAACGTGTTAAATTTGACACGTGAAGTGTCTTAAAAGAAAGGGATATATTTGCATCGCTGTCGCTTACCGAATAAACTTTCTCGCGTCGCGATTATTGTCCAGCAATGAGCGACGCGCGCGTGATGTGGCGCGAGCAAAAAGTGGAGGGAACACGGAATTTCGACTGGTTCACCTTTCGCGGCTCGAACAAGTGATTTTTGTGTCGCTGCATTCGCGGCATATACGCGTCGATGCACACTCTATGCAGCTGGTGAACTATGTAAGAAACGCGCCGTGCGAGCTCTCGTCCGCGAGATAATGGCAAGATGAATGCGAAATGGCGAACGCAAAGGCACCTTTCGATACGCGACCTTGACTGGAGATCGCTTTTTCTCTCTGATTCGTCATTCCGCGCCATTGATGACCACACTGGACTCGCGAGAGGAGCGGCTCGTCGTTTCTTTTTTCTTCCTCTTCTTTTTTTTTTTCTTTTTCTTTCGAAACGGTTACACAACAATCGTCCATATTGCGACCATGGTGCGCCGCTGAACTTGAATTATGATGCTCAGAAGAAGTTTTCCTGCCTTCGTTGTCTTTCACGAGAGAGTTTACAGCCGCCTATTTCGAAGTACAGATATTAAGCGCATTTTTTATTCACAGGGTACAGGGACGATTTCTCTCGAGTTTCCCGTTTTTCCTGTTTTTATTTATTTTTTTTTACTTTT